AGAGAGAGAGAGACAGAGAGAGAGACAGAGAGAGAGACAGAGAGAGAGAGAGAAGAAGATGGGTAGGGGGAGAGATAGGTCCTTGTACAATCCTGCTACCAAAGTAGTCCTTCAGAATTTCTGATAAGCAGCCACAGAGGCCACGTTCCTCACATCATTAGGCCCCTGAGGGACGTGGACAAATTCCTTCCTGATGCTGGAGTCAGGAACACAGACAGAGAGCTGGTCTGCTCCTCCCTCCTAGGCCCAGGAGCACCATAACATGCATTCACCCATCCCATAGCCAGGTATGCACCCAGGCCTCCCTACTAGTGCTGTGTGAGGGATGGGGAGGGGGAGTTAGACAGGGACATTGACACCAGGGTGAATTCTGGGATGATGTCAGTCCCGCCAGAACTCTCCTCCTCGCTGAGAGATGCTGCCCACCTTGGTGAAGGGCACATGTCCACACCATTGCAGCCTGACATCTAGGGGGTCATGCTTGACGGACCTGCCACCACCAGCCCAGCCCCATGAGCCATGGGTTTGCTCTGGAATCTGTTCCCTCCTCTCCACACTAACTGCCTCCTTTTCATTGATTCCTTTTGGGATAGAGGCCCCAGGCGCTCCCCACCCAGCTCCCCACCTCTGAACTCTTTCTGCCACCCCAAGAGTTCCACAAGACAAGATGACATATTTGTCCATGTTGCTCTCAACCCTTGTGTGTCTCAGGAATTTCACTGTGTCTGGGAAGAAGGGTGGAAGGCCTTAGGGCAGCATTCAAGGCCTTTCCAGGCAGCCCCGGCCTTACCTCTTGGTCCAGACCCGCAGTATCCCACAAGGTAGGCAGGGGACCCACATGGCTACACAAATAGTGATGAAGTAGGATACAATACATTTGAAAATTTAGTTCTTTCATTGCACTGGCCTCATTTCAAGTGCTCAACAGCCACATGGGACTTGTGGCTCCCATGTCACAGAGATGTAAAACTTGCCTGTGTTCAAGAAAGTTCTATGGGACAGCATTGCAGCACACGCATGCACACCTTTTCCCCCCAACTGTGGGACTCACACCATCTCTTACAACCCAGACCAACACCCCTGCCCCTGCCAATCCATATCTCCAACTCCACAAGCTGTTGTCAGACACTGTTCTGTATGTAAAGGCCCTGTCCCCTGCACCCTTCAGTGCATACTGCGTTTAGGTATAAGATTATCTTTTGATCCCTCCCACCCCACTGTAGGCCTCTGAGGGTAAGACCCATTCTCAGTACCAAGGACAAGAAGAGGGCCTGGCCTAGACCTGCCTGCAGCTTCTGTAGTAAGAAGCTGCCTCGTGAGAAGGTTGGGTTGGGTCTGAGCTCCCCTCTGAAAGGGTGAGAGGTGGAGCTCCCCACGTGGCTCAACTAAGTTAGGGAAACTGAACCCGACAGCCCACAAGCGCAATCATGTGAGCTCTGTGTCAGCCCCACCCCATATCAGGTCTCCTGTAACTGAGACAGAAGTTACAGGACTGAGACAGAACTTATGAGCTGGCTCTGCCACCCACCCTTTAGGTGCTTGTCCCTCAGCCTATGAGATCACCTAGTCTGTCTATGCCACAGTCCCTCATCTGCAAAATGGGTAGTGATACCTCACAAGGCTGGAAGCGTGGGATGACATAAAAGCAGGGAATGCCCTGCCTCCTGGGGCACACAGCCTGGCAGCATACTCCTGGTGCTCCTTTACATACTCCTGGAGACGGAGTAGTCCAAGTGTCCCACATGAAGGTCCTCAGTCACTTCTGTGTCCTCGTCCTATGCTCTGTCCAGGTGGCCCACCCTCCCTGCCTTCTTGGATGGCAAGAGTAGAAAGGGGCGGAGGGACCATCTGGTTTAGCCCTTACAATTGCCAGCACAGGAAACAGAAGCCCAAGGAAAGGACTGACTGGCCCACGGCCATGGCCACACAGATTGTCAGTGGAGAATAAACCAGAATGTTTACTCCCAGCTGACAGCTCTGACAGGAAACGGGAACCTGGTGACAAACTCCCAAGAGACAGAACCAACCCAGAGGAAAGATACTGTGACCTTGACCACAGCAGAGGCTTGGGCCCAGAGGGACTGGAGGTGGGGCTGGCTCAGGTTGAATTTCACAGTCACCTCATCACCTATTTC